AGAATGAGGGGGGATTTGATAGCTGCTTTCAACTACCTGAAAGGGGGTTCCAAAGAGGATGGAGCTCGGCTGTTCTCAGTGGTGGCAGATGACAGAACAAGGAATAATGGTCTCAAGTTGCAGTTGGGGAGATTTAGGCTGGATATTAGGGAAAAAAATTTCACTAGGAGGGTGGTGAAGCACTGGAATGGGTTCCCTAGGGAGGTGGTGGAATCTCCTTCCTTAGAGGTTTTTAAGGTCAGGCTTGACAAAGCCCTGGCTGGGATGATTTAGTTGGGGTTGGTCCTGCTTTGAGCAGGGGGTTGGACTAGATACCTCCTGAGGTCCCTTCCAACCCTGATATTCTATGATTCTATGATTCGTATTCCCCATGCCCCTCCAGCATGCCTCACGCCCCTCCATCATCCCCATCCCCCGCCATCGTCCCCCATCCTTCCATCCCCCTCCATCATCCCCATCCCCATCAACCCCCTCCCTCCCATCCCCCTCCATCATCCCCCACGTTCCCCATCCATCATCCCCCATCCTCCCATTCCCCCTCCGTCATCCCCCATGTTTCCCACACCCGCATTCCCTTGCGGGAAGGAATGAGATTCTGCAGGGCTGAGGCAGGAACCCCTTGGCCAAGCCAGACAGCCGGGGACTGGCCCCAGCAGAGCGCCCGCTGGGCATGCCAGGACCATGCTGCTGTCGCGAGTCAGCCGGCCCTGCAGACCAGCATGTCCCCAGCTCAGGGCTCACCAGGACACAGTGGGTGAAAGGCTCAGTGCTCATGCAGCGGGAGCCAGACCCTGTTTCTCCAGGTCCCATTTGTCAGGGTTGGGATGGCCATGAGAGGCAGCCAAGCAATGGCGGGGGTGTGTGTGTCAAGACTGGTAGCAGGCCCTTCTCCTTTGTGCCAGGAGTCCGCCCTTTGCCTGCATGGCCTGCTGCAGGCAACCTGACCCGTGTAACAGGAACCGGCCTGTCTGCAGCCTCCCAGCCTTCACCATGGCGACCATGGGTCCAGCATGCAGCAGCTACGTGGGCTGCGATGCAGTGCTGCAGGCGAGGCTACGCAGTGAACCCAGCACCCAGTACAGCCACCTCCCCCTTGCTGTCTCTCACCTGGGCCCTCCTGCCTTATCCCTCCTCCTCCAGTTCAGAGCAGGAGAAACCTTCCCCTTGTCAGGGCCCGAAGTGAGGGCTGGGCCCCAGGGGCCTGACAGAGCACGAGGCAGGGTGGCTCTGGCGTCTTTTAGCCCTCGCATTTGCAGCTCCATTCAGCCTTGGATTAGGCTGGCTGCTCAGGGCACTGCCCCACAGTGGCTGGGGCTGGCCAGGGTCCCCCAGCAGCTCCTGCCTTTGGGGCACCTATGGAGGGGTCCAAGTGAATCCCCCTTGGGGGCGCAGCTCTCCTCGCTGTGCCAGGGGGTGGATCGGACCTCCTGTGCAATGCCATGGGGTTAGTGGGGTTGCCCAGAGGTGGGCAGAGAGGGCCCCTCGCAGCAGTGCTGGCACCGAGCAGAGGGCACCCCCTGCAGCGAGCGTGTTAACGAGCCGAGCGCTGGGCTAGGGCCTGTGCAGTGCAGTGAACCATACCTGGGAGATAAACAGTGTCATGATTGCTTGTTCCCGTGCTCCCTGGGCCTTAACCAGCTGCGGGTACGTTAGCACCAGCTGCCGGGGGAGCCCTTCACCCCGCCTGCCCCAGGCCGGCCCTGCCCCAGGCCCCTTTCCTGCCAGTGAGGGCGTGGGTAGCGCCTTGCCCATGGCAGGACGTCCTGCAGCTGCTCTTTGTAGCAGGGCTGAGAGCCCGCGGGCGGGGAGGAGAAGCTCTCCAGGTGAGCGTGGGGGAGATCGCAGGAGCTGGTGGATGTTCAGGGGCCGACTCCAGGCCAGCTTCCCCCCTCCCCGCTCTCCCCCCCAGCGCGAGGTGGCGTGGGGCACCCACAGAGCTGGCTTCTCCACCGCCAGAGCTCTCGGCATTCTGCCCCATGCCCCCCCCCCACAGGGGGCCAAGGGGGAGAGGTGGCAGGTGGAAATGCCAACTGGTTGCACTGACCTGTGCACGGAGATCCCAAAGCCAGGGGCTGCAGGCACAGAATCTGCTCCAGGTCCTTCTCCTCTGCAGGGCAGCTGCTGGCAGGAGTGCCTGGGAGCACGGTCCTCCTCCCCCTCACCCCCAGGAGCCGGTCTGAGCCAGCCCCGCAGGCCCTAAGGCAGTTCCCAGTAGCTGGAGCTCCTCACTCAAGCCAGGCAGGGCCCGCTCACGCCCTGAAACAGGCCCCACCTCCACACATAGCTCCCTGCCCATTGGTGCATCCCCCAGGCCTTGCTACCCACCTACCCCTGCCCAGGGCTGTGCGACTCCCAGCTGACAGCACCTGCACCACGAGGCCCTACTCAGGGGCTGGCTGGCCGCCCTGCAGCCTCGAGAACGGGACTGTGACCCCAGCAGCCTCCCAGCAGCCCCTGGGCCTATTTCCCAAGGGCCCTGCTCTGCGGCAGAGCTGACGTGACAGGAGGCAGGTGCCGCAGGACCAGTTCCTCCCGCCAGCTCTGCGGCACCCTCCCGCCCCGTGGCACGTCTCCTACCCCCGCAGCCAGCTCTGGGCAACCTGCACAGCGGAGCCCGGGTCCTTTCTGGCTTCTTCATAAAGGGACCTGGGAGCTTTGTTCTGAATCCCAGGCCTCTGCCCACCTCCGCCAGCCAGGTCGGTCTGGTCCTGCTGGAGGGCTGCCTGCAGTACCTCTCCCCCCTGTGAGCTTTAGACTCTGTGCCCAAGAGGCCGCCCCACCTGCCCACATTTTAATGCTCTTGGCTCTCCGCTGGCCATGCTGCGCCCGCTCTCCAGTCGCCGCAGAGCCCTGCGGGGAAACCGCCCGCTGGGACAAACCCTCGCAGCCTCTGTTCTGCCCCAGGCAGAGGAAAAGAGCCCGGGCTCCCGGCATGTTTAACTCTGGAGTCACCGGAGCACGGGGCACCGCTGAGCCCTTAGACCGCTCCAACCTGCGCCCCGTGGCCCAGTCTGAGAGCAACTCAAATTCCTTCCTGGAACCAACGTGATGGCCTCAGCGTAGGGCCCGATCCTGCTCCCGCGGCGTCACGGGGAGTCCTGCGCACCAGGGGCAGATGATCCAGCCCTTTAACGAGCATGGCCCCGCTAGCAAGCGACCTGGTGCCAGGACTGTGGTTCAGCCCCAGGCCCAGCCCCACGCTAACACACACAGGCAGGCCCAGTGACCCATAGCGTCAGGACACAGGCAGCCAGCACAGATGCACACACCAAGACACGATAATGCGTGCGCGTGCACCCACGGGGACACGGTCACGTGCACCCAGCTACGTACACAGTGCTACATGCGTGAGTCAACCGCACGCCAAAGGCACAGAGGTGCACCTGGACCCACGCAGCGTTTGGGCAGCAAATTCCTCACTTCTCCCCACGCCCCATGGCTAGCTCCCCGCTCCCCCTTCCCGCAGGAAGCTCATTCCACCAGCTGGGCGCTGAGTTTCTCTCCGGACAATGGGGAAGCCGAGATGGGACTGTAACCAGATCAGAGGATAAATTAAGCCGCACAAGTTTCCATTCTCTGCACCTCAAAGCCAAGCTGAGCCCCTCCCCCCTCGGCCTGGAGCCCACCTCCCCACTCAGACCCCAACGTTCTCCAGTCGGGCTAGGGACACCCCTCCATACTCCCCATCCAGTCAGCCCCCAAATGCCCATGTCCCCTTTCCCTCTCCCCCTCACACAACCCCCACCCCTTTCCCAGGCACTGAATACCCCCTGTTCAGCCCCAGAGCTTCCCTATGGAGCTAAATTCCCCTCCCTATGCTGGCCCGGGGCGTGCACTCAGGACTTTTCCGGGGGGAAAGCAGACAGACGTGTTTCCCCTCCGCTGTCCAAGGCCTGGGGCTCCCCCCGCGTGGTTATTCGCCTGGCATTGAGCTCCGGCGGTGCGAGGTACCAGCACAAATCACCTATGGGGAGCCGAGTGGAAAACATTATTCACGAGCCTGACATTCGGCATGAAAACCGGTCTCCTGCGGCGGGAGGGGGGGCGGGCGGAGCAGGGAGCCAAAACTAGCACTGGGGAGCCATACAGCTACCCCGGCCAAGGGGAGGGGGAAGGGAGCGTCCCTGGGGCGGGTGAGTAACCCAGTCTCCAGCTCCAGGAGGAGTGAATCGCCCGGCAAAACAAACAGTCCTGGAGTCAGACTGGCCCCAGGTCACCCCCCCCCCGCACACACGCCTCCCAAATCGGACCCGTTTACAAAACAGCCGCCTACTGCTCATTGGCTGCCAGCTGCATCTCCTCCCCGGGGAACACATGCCTCCAGAACCCAGCGAGGCGTCGCAGGGCCGGGCCGGTGCAGGGGCTGCTGCCGAGGGGGCCGCCACGGGCCCTGCCTTTCCCCCAGGGGAGCTGGCCGGGCAGTAGCAATGGCAAAGCAGAGGACCAGGGTGGGGGGAGCTGTGGTCCATGCAGGAAGGGAGCCTGGGGCTTTCCTCTGAGCAAGTATAACAGACAGCTGGTGTGTAAGCCACACGGCCAGCCTCCGAGGAGAGCTGTGCTAGGACACTCTGGGGCTCGGGCTGGCCAGGGCAAAGGGTGCAAGGATTGAGCAGTGTGTGGAGCCCAGAACTAACTAGGAGGCGGGTGGGCTGCAGGTCAGAGCAGCAGTGGAGCTGTGGGGGGCTCAGGTGTGGGACAGAAGGGGAGCTGCAGTGTAGGGTCAGGCTGTGCGTGCCCACACTCACCTGCACCACTGTCCCCTCTGGCACAACCGACACTCCCCTCTGCAGCTCACCACCCCCTGCCACTCGTCCAGGGGACAGAGCTGAGGGCGGCCCGGCCCATCATCCTGACCCCCTCACCCCTAGAGTCCCTCTGCTAACTACCAGCCCCACTTCTAGCGCTCGGCTAGCACAGCCCAGCCCCCGATCTCTTCACCAGCCCGGTACCATTCGGGTCACCCCCCAGCCCTCAACCCCCCCAAACAGCGCAAGGCTCAGTTGAAGTAACACATCAGGGTTTATTGTTTCCATTCCTTGCAGCTAATGATTAAAAAAAGTTCTAAAATAAATTACAGAATTAAATAACCTCAGGTTGGATTATTCCCCCCCACCCCCAAACCAAGGGTTAAACCAGTCACTGGGTTTGGCAATAGCAACAAAACAAAAACACTCTAGGAAAAGCAGCTACCGGTTTAGCAGGTATCCCGGGCCAAAACCCTCTGCCAGGGAGCTCCCTTCGGGTCCCTCGGCTCTAGTACCCACATGCCAGGGTGCATTCGCCCCCTCACAGTCCAACCTCCTCTTTTCCCCTCTCCGCCGTTCAGCTCTGAGTGAGCTCCGTGCTGTTGGCCTGCCCTGTCCCCCCAAACAGCTGGGCATGCACTCAGCAGGCCCCTTCTCTTCCCTCCTAGTCCCTTACCCGTGAGATTCTCTGTGCTGCGTCCGCAGTCAAAGGGAGACCCCCTTCTAGACGTGCGTGGGATGGTCCAGGTAAGGGTCTGTTTTGGTCATGTGTAACGTGACCGTAGGGGCTTTGTAATGGCAATGCGCCCCAGTGCAAGTGACCCCGCTGCAAGGCTTCCCCCTAGTCCTCATGCCCAGTTTTCTGTTGCACAGGCTCTGCCAGGTCTGGAGCGTCTTGGAGCTCCACACCCACACGCCACTGGTGATGCCCACCACCAGCGACATGAAAATCTTTAGCATAAAGACAGCCACGGTGGGTACCGAGGCTTCCAAAGAGCAGTGGGTGCTGCGCCTGCCGGGGAAGGCCATGCAGCCGTGCTCCAACGCCCTGAGGTTCCAGTAATCCATATTGAGCCGCTCGTAGAAGTAGCAGACGATGACGCAGGTGGCCGGGACGGTGTAGAGGATGGAGAAGACCCCAATCTTCACCATCAGCTTCTCCAGCTTCTCTGTGTTGGTGCCTCCCGTCTTCATGATCTTCCGGATGTGGAAGAGGGCGACGAAGCCCGTGAGGATGAAGGAGGTGCCAATCACCAGGTAGCAAGAGAGCGGGATGAGCACGAACCCCGTCAAGGCACCGACGTCCATGCTTCCCACGTAACAGAGCCCGGTGAGCTCATCTCCTGCCACCTTTCGCATGGTGAGGATGACAATGGTCTTCATGGCTGGGATGCCCCACGCGGCCATGTGGAAGTAGCTGCTGTGGGCTTCGATGGCCTCATGTCCCCATTTCTTCCCAGCTGCCAGGAACCAGGTCAAGGTCAGGATGACCCACCAGAGCGAACTGGCCATGCCGAAGTAGTAAAGGATGAGAAAGACGATGGTGCAGCCGGTGCTTTCTAGCCCCTCCTGAATGATGTACAGCTCCCCGTTCTCCCGGTCACAGGCTATGTTCTCAGCCCCAGCCACTGAGCGAATGATGAAGGCCACCGAGTAGACGTTGTAGCACATGGAGAGGAAGATGATGGGTCTCTCCGGGTATTGGAACCGGTGTGGGTCCAGCAGGAAGGTGAGCACCGTAAAGGCCGTGGAGACAAAACACAGCGTTGACCAAACTGCCATCCATATGAAGGCAAAATCTTTGTCCTCCCGGGACCAGTACACATCCACCCCAGGGGAGCATTTGGGGGCACAGGAGAGGCTCTTCTCCACGTACTGGAACTTCTCGGGGTTTTCACATGACCCCAAGCTGTTCGGCCCCCTGCCCTCTCCAGTCCCCGAGGGCCTGGGGCGCGGCGCCACCGGGAGCATACCCTGTCCCTTCGGAGCGTCCCCAGGGGTGGCGTTCTCGGGTGCCTCCATGCACAGGGCATTGGGATCGTTCTTGGTAGGCAGCTTGCTGCAGTCCAGGGACTCCGGCCAGCCAAAGTTGAACTGCTCCATGATAGGGGCGCACTTGTGCCGGGCCTGCTCACACATGGGCTTGCAGGCCGGGATGCTGGTGCTCACCTGGTCCGTGCACATGGGGGCGTAGAGGGAGCAGAGGAAGAAGCGCAGGTGGACGTGGCAGCCGTACTCCACCAGGGGGGCAAACTCGTGCAGCTTGATGGCCGCCTCCCGCTGGTTCTCGTGCCCCATGTAGTTGGGCATGCGGGTCATGTTGTAACCGATGCCCTGGCACATGGGGATCTCGATGGGCTGGCATCTGGCCTCGCGGCCCCGCTCGATGTCGTAGGAGCCGATCTCCAAGGTGGAGGCCACCACCAGCTGGCACAGGAAGGACACGATGATTTTCAGGCGCAGGGCTGCCATGGCCGGCTCCTGGCACGTCCCGGGCACCCCGCTACCGCCAGGGCTGGGTGCTGCCAGGGCGCTACAGAAACGCCCCCATCTTGCCCCAGGCACGGAGAGCACCAGCCAGGCAACCCCCTGGGCGCGCCGCCTCGCTAGCCCCGGGCTGGGCAGCGCCCCCCGGCCAGCCCCATGGCAGGGGCCGGCTCGCTCGCCGCTCCGCAGCCGGGTCCCTCCCGCGGCACCGGGCACCGAGCCCCGGCCGGCGGCTCAGAGCGGCGCCGAGGGGCTGCTCCCCCCGCGGGCGCCCGGCCGCGCCGGGGCTCCATGCGCCGGGCACAGGCGGACGCGCCGGGTCCGGGGATCTCGGAGCCGCCGCCGCCGCTCCTGCCTCCGCGGCCGCTGAGCCGCCGCCAGCCCCCGGAGCCGGCTACACCCCCGGGAGGG